TATTTATTGTGTTGTCATATGTAAAATATTAAAAAAATACTAAAGGTATGTTTAACAAAACGTATTAATATAGCATTTAATTTAAAAATATGTTTATTTAGATTAGAAAAAGACTCTTAATAAGATGCTGGGCAGGCGAGAGTCAAAAATAGACGAAGTTATTCCACTTTTTCCTGTTTCATGGCTTGGACGTGGAATTCTAAAAATTAAATAAAAGAATACTCAGCAAATTTAAACTTCAAACATTTAGCCTAATTATGACTACTTCCATTTGTTTCTACAAAAAATGTGCATAATATAATCGTTCTACACTTACCCACAGGTACGTTGTATCTGAACAAATTAATTTCATAATCTATATTCCATGACACGCGATGGTATGTTAGGAATAATTTGTATGACTATTAATCTTTAATATTTTTTTATTAATTAAGTATCTTATTCAGTGATGAAGTTATTCCTTGGTATTTGCTAATTTTTCTTGACTTATTTGTGCAATATCTAAAACACACCATGGCATATTTTATCAATTTTTTATATAATCGGCGACATCGCCCCAATTGGATGAGACAGCGTAACTAAATACAGTGTCGCCTCTAGTACGTAGTACATAATAGCTCAATGGTTATGAATCTTTTATTGTATAAATGTTAGTTTGTGTGTAACGGTGTACGTATATCCACTACCACATGTCATCCCGTGGCTGTCGTCGCAAGAGGCGACAGGAAAACAAATCAGAAGATGGGCAGCAGCGTCTTCGCCAGTTATTTTGCTGTTGACTACGGTCCAGTTCCCAACATCTAGTTCCATTTCGGGGGCAGCGCGTTGGTTGGTTAGCGCTCACCGCACATGGCGTTGGTCTGTGTACCCCACATTTTTTTTAAATTTCAGAGAGCGAAGTCCTTATATCGGGTATTTTTATATAAATATTTTAAGTCTTTTACAAGCGTGAAGATATTAATTAATAAGGAATAACGGCCTATATATAAACTTCAAAAGATCAATATATTGATTCATTTAGGCTATTTAAGTCCCACTGCTGGGCACAGGCCTCCAACGCACTGCCAAAATGCGTGTTGGCGAACATCACATGTCTTCGAAATATTTTTTTTCTTATTTCTCAGACATGCAGGTTTCCTCACGATGTTTTCCTTCACCGCCGAGCACGTGGTAAATCAGCACTTAAAATTGCAATTAACAATTTCATTGGTGCCGGCTTGGATCGAACCCGGGTTGCTGGAGTACTGTGAAGCTTACAGCGAGCGCTAACCATCTGAGCTACCACGGCTCTTCTGATCACATATATTATTCTATTTAATATTGTTATATTTAATAGACAGCCGTTTTATATACACAATAGAAGGGGAGGGTTTTTTTTTTTATAAAAAATATTTCTTATTTTGTATTGTCAAAGCTGTGCTTATGAATCACTTATTGTAAAAAAAAATGTTATTTTCACCGTAACACCGTATAGTGGGTTTTCAACACAAAACTAGGCACAAATAAGTACGGTGAGCTGAAAGTAAAAATTTCGGAATAGGGCATCGGAACCCAAGGGGCCAGCAGCTGGCAGACTTTATGGAGAAAGAGGGACACTTTATAATGAACTCTTTCTTCCAGAAGCGGCCCCACAGGAAGTGGACCTGGTCGAGCCCCGACGGTTAGACAAAAAATGAGATTGACTTCATTATGACGACCAGACGACAACTGATCAGTGATCTCTCAGTGATCACGAGGGTGAAAACTGGCAGCGATCACCGAATGGTGAGAGGCACACTGAACCTAAACGTTTAGTTGGAGAGCGTCTAATGAAGTCAACGCTCCGTCCCCCTCGTGCTCTAATCCAAAGTCCCGAAACCTTTCAGCTCGAGCTATGAAACCGTTTTCAGTGCCTAGAAGATTGCAATGCAGTGGATGATATGAATGACAAGCTCGTGGAAACTGTCCATGTGGTCGAAGCTAAGTTTTGCAAGACCCGCCGCAGAAGAACACAAAAACTCTCCGATCACACTCTTAATCTCATAGCTGTTAGACGGGGTATGAAGCTGCAGTCTTAAGTAGATTTTACAGCATACAGGCAACTGAACAGACAGATCTCCAAATGCATGTGGCGGGACTTACGTAACTTTAATACTGCTCGTATTACAGAAGCGATCGAGCGGAACTAGGGCTCCAAAGTCTTTGCTAGAGAAGCTGAAGACCGAGTGTGGCAGCGTCGTTTCCGGGACACCTGAGATTTTGAGTGAGATTGAGAGGTTCTAGGGGCAGCTGTACACATCATCGTTGGAGCCACACGTAAGTGTGAATAACGATCCAAGAGCGAGCCTTATCCTACACTATTCCGATGATATCCCGGACGTCAGTCTGAGCGAGATTAGAATGGCTCTCCAGCACCTTAAAAACGGCAAGGCCCCAGTCGAGGAAGGAATTACAGCGGAGCTTCTGAAAGCGGGTGGAAGACCGATACTTGAAGTCCTTCAGAAGCTCTTTAATTCCGTTCTCCATGGTGGCATTACACCGGAGGCGTGGAGCAGAAGTGCGGTGGTCTTGTTCTTCAAGAAAGGTGACAACGCACTCTTGAAGAACTACAGACCGATTTCCCTTATGAGCCGCGTCTACGTGCTGTTTTCGAGAGTCATTACGAATCGTCTCGCGCGCAGACTTGACGACTTCCAGCCTCCCGAACAAGCCGGTTGCCGAAAATGCTTTAGCACCATAGACCACATACATACCCTTCGGCAAATTGTACAGAAGTTCGAGGAGTTCAATTTGGACGTGGCGTATGTGGACTATGAGAAAGCCTTTGATTCCGTCGAAATTTGGGCGGTGCTGCAGTCACTTTAGTGATGCCTATCCGAGTACAGAACCAGAGTACGAAAACTTTCCAATTGCAGAGAGGTGTAAGACAGGGTGACGTTATATCCCCGGAACTCTTCACCGCTGCATTGGAAGACGTTTTCAAGCTTCTGGACTGGAAAGGATACGGTATTAACATCAATGGCGAGTACATCACTCACCTTCGATTTGCCGACGATATGGTCCTTATGGCAGATTCGCTGGAGGATCTAAGCACTATGCTCAATGACCTTAATAGTGTTTCCCAACGGATAGGTCTTAAGATGAACATGGACAAAACAAAGATCATGTTTAATGTCCATGTCACACCTATGCCGGTAGTTATTGGGAGCACTAAGCTCGAAGTTGTTGACGAGTATGTTTACCTGGGACAAATAGTCCGACTAGGTAAGTCCAACTTCGACAGAAAGGTCAGTCGACGGATTCAACTCGGTTGGGCAGCGTTCGGGAAATTACGGCACATCTTCTCGTCAGGTATACCTCAAAACTTGAAAACAAGACTGTACAACCAGTGCGTGTTGCCAGCCAGCTGTGCGTGTGCACAGCTTAGAATTCGTCCAAACAAGGCGAGTAGGTAGTAAAGTAAAATTTTCAAGGGCGACAAATATACTTACCTAATAAAGCCATGCAATGTTTTAAAAAAAAACTATCTGCCAATAATTTTGTAATTTTGTAATGAAATGCCTACTTTTACACATTAACGGCTATAGCTCAGTAAGTAATAACATTAAGTACATGGTATGCTAATGTTTTAGAATCCTTATGATATAGGCAAATATTTTAAATGGTTGCCCACACAGATCCTATACGTTTTTTTCACCACAGGTGCTCAAATTTAGCAGTTAGATAAAGTAAAAACTTTAAACTTATGTTTAGTGCCGTCTTGTAAAATAGTACCCATAGTAGTTGAAAACTTTTAAGGATAATTTAGAAACATCATAATTAGGGAACACATTTAAAAGAAAGAAATCCGATCTAGGCATCCGAGGCATTAAACTGCGGACGTGATGACCACAAAAATGTGAGCAGAAGTACGAATTTTCGGAATTTTATAAAACATGGCGTAGACCGCGAACCGTTCGGGGTAGAAGTTTTTTTTTAGAGAACCGAGGCATCCTCCCTCCCGCCCGAACACGTACGTACCAGATCATCCACCATTACTGGGACTTTCTGTACATACTCCAAATACATAGGCTGTATTATAGTATAGGTTAATTACATGCCGTGTTTACTATATTCTATACTCTTTGCTTGGTAGTGTGTCTGTGATAGAGATGTGCCAACTCGGAAAAATTACGACTCGAGTTGAAATTCCGCAAATAAACTCGAGTTAGCAGTACGAAACAGAGTAAATGATTTGTTGCAAACTAATTTTTTATAAATTTGTTTTTCTGTCTAACTCTTTGGTGGTTTGGGATAACTATAATTACCAAACTTATTATGTATAATAATATAATAGTATTTCTTTATTATCAAAAATAAATCACAAGAAATTTTATGAAGTCTCTGACTCCTAAACTAGACGAGTCTGTGTCTTAGGAATCAGCGGCCTCTCCCAGAGTTGTAACACTCTTGTTACATGTGAATGTATGATTGAACTAAAAAGGTATATTTAGTATATATAGTAGTCTTCACCTAACATTTTTAATCTAGCTTTAAGGTGTAAGTATACAACCTATTTATAATTTATTTATCACAGTCAAAATATTCTTAAATAAATTCAAATTCCAAATATTTATTGTAAGCTTAGTGTTACATTTGGCGTTAATTTAAAATAATATGTATTTTACAACTTCCTAACATTTTCGGATAATACAATAGGTTTAAAATAATAATAGTTTTGTGACGTATATAACTATATTGATCATAATTAATCAAAATTATAAGAGAAATTAGCTATTATAAAATTCTAAATAACAAATTGTTTTGGTTGTACCTAAATACTCTTTGAAACACAAAGCGCGCACACAACGAACGAATTGCGCTCTTACTCTTTTGCTGCCTCACTTGATCCGTTCGTGTACAGCAGCCCAAACTCGAGTTAGGGAGATCCAACTCGAGTTAACTCGAGTTAGTAACTCGAGTTGACACATCACTAGTCTGTGAGTGTGATAATAAAAATCAGTAAAGTGTTTTTATTTTAGATGTCTGGATTAATAAATATTTGTGCATATGGAAATGACTCTGAGTCTGAAACCGATGAATGTGAAATCAGTGCCTTTACGGAATTAAAGAGGCAAGTAACAATGTTCAATTAACGTTATCGAGAATTACTACTTAAAGTATTTTAGCTTCTTGACATTTATAATTTTTTATAGTACTAATGTACCAAAAATAAACTACGTACACCCCATAGGTACTATAAATCTTGAAAAATTTGATGAAGATGGAGTAGTAGGTGTAGATTGAGACAAAATTGTTATGATTAAAATTTTCTAGCATAAACAAATGTTCTAAATGTGTTAATAGATAAAGCGGGCTGAACATGGAAAACTCATTGTATTTGTTTAAGAATGTCTAAGGGGCAGTATCTTACCTCATAGGAATGGTCGTTACAAAACGCAATCTTTTTATACAATAGCAGCTATTGGGTTATTGCAGTCCAATGAAACTGGTTTGCAAACTGAAAGATGTTTTACTGGGTAACACGATTCACGAACAAGCGATCAGAACGAAATGTAACAAATCGTTTATTCGGCCATTTTCACGACGCATCAGAAACAACTTCAGCTGTTCAAGTACCACTGGCCATCGAATGTCGAGTGAGTGCAGGAGACACATATTTGTCTCTAGCACACCCACCTACACATACATTGCTTTTGCATTTGACCTATGACTCTATTACCTTTGGATAGATGCAATATTAGAAATGAGAAAGTAAGTGTGCATGTTTTTAAATAAAAAATATTTTCAAACTGCTTGAATTTGCGTGGCCTTGACCCAGTCTGAATTTGTCACATGTTTGATGACATGGTTTTTTTTAGGTGCGATTGCTAATATAACAGATTTTTTCAGACTACTAAGTAATAATATATTTGTAATAAGATAAGAAGAGAATAAATTTGTATATATGTATTATTATTTTATTTAAAATTTTACTTAAGTTGTTACTAAATTAACTTGTCACCAGCCATTCCTAGGCCAGGATAAACATGAAACAAATTTTATAGTAATATAAATCTTCTTAACACTATAATCTCAATAACTGTAATCTTAACGAAATAGGAACACTAAACAAGCTAATCAAGTTTTCTCGTGGAACGGGCCATTGTTTCTTTCGCCACATTTTTCAATGAAACACATTGTGAAACACTCTATTGAAGCTGCTATTAAAATAGTGTTTCAAAAGCTGCTATTGATATTAGGTAGATAGATTCATTTTTAAAAAAGCATAGATATGCAGAAGCAACAGTGTTGAGCTTTGTGGAACATCAGCATTTACAGGCATTCAAATTTGAGAAAGTATTATCTACCACAACTTTCCTACTCAGATCTGCAAGTTAACTAAGTTGACGGTTTCGTGGCGCAGTGGCTTCGCAATGAGTTACAACGCTGGGGGCCGCGGTTTCGAATCCCACATGGAAGAAGTATTTGTATGGGCTACAAATAATTGTTCCGGGTCTGGATGTTTGTCCTTGTGCAATTTATGTTTGTAAACTCCCTCTATGATACAGGAGAAAATCCTAGTGTGGAGGTAATGTTTTTTTAAAAAAAGAAAAAAACTAAGTGTTGTAAGGATAGGTTATGTCAGACTTGTTCTGACTAAACCCCCATGCTGTTATGTCTTTCTCACGTATCAGTAGGACCATGATTTTGCACATATATGCAGCCTTACTTGTGTCGGCCATCTCTTGGCATTTACTTATCAGTCGAAGACAATTCCTACTCTACTACTCCTAGACTTTCCTTCTCTATTTCCCTTCGGGTAAGGTGTGCCAGAATAAAAGGCGCAATAACCTACATACACCAGCTCACCAGCAGCTTCACCTTGGGTCAAAAAATTAGCATTGATAAGCCTTCTTGATCCCATCAGTGGATCTAGCCTATGATGGCTCTATCTAATGTGAATCGAGGACCCCAATACATATAGAGAGTATAACTAATTTTCGATTTAATCTGGGATGAAAATAAGTTTCATTATGCACTCCCACCATTCATGAAGGAGTGGAATGTGTAATATTTTATTATTTAATTTTTTCAATCTTGAACATTTTATATTTGGAATTACAGATCCAGACTACCAGTACCAGATCTAACTAATGTACCAGCTGTTTTAACAGACCAACATTTTGACGACCCTCAACTTCATAGGGGTCGAAAAAGGACATTTCCTCATGTGAGAGGAAACTGGCCCACCTTTGTATATGTAAAATGTTAGTATTCAAGTATCATCATTCATCATAATGTTTTGCGAGTAATGTAGAAGTATATATAGGCCTACAAATTTATACTGCTTAAATACACTAAATTATAAATATACTATATTTATAATTTAGTGTATTTTAAAAGATTTAGTCATATTTCATCATAAGAATGGGTGGACTGGTAGGAAAAATTTGCCACTAAACAATTCAGGGCGGATGGCACACTAGGTGGACTGAATTGGATTGAATCACTAATTTAGAGTCATATCATTTTAAAAATCGTTATAACTCGCTCAAATTTCGTTTTTGGAAGATTTATCCAGAACAAAATATTCATTATTTTGCAAGTAGTTCATGCCTACAATATTTGCCATAATTGCCACTCTTGGGACTTTAGGTGGCGGTTTGGTCACCACATTTTTTTTATTGTAAAGTTGTATTCAGGAAGATTTTATTAATTTTTTTTACGCTTATTATCTGCATTAATAATTTCACTGTGGCGGTCTTAATAACTTTGGGCTTCTTTGACGTAAACACGACTCTTTATACACAGATAAAACATAAATTTCACACCATATCATAGTTTCATAGAATAGTACAGAAAAAACATTAATCTTTACATTTTCCGAACAAATTAACTTTCCCGCTATGAAATCAGTCAATTATTATACCTCACTTTTAAGTGGCGTCGCCCTGGTGGCAGAAAAAGTCGTGGATGCCTTCATTTGCTTAAAATTCTGCAAATTTTCAAAATGTGTAATATTTCCTATATGTATTGCCAGTAAGCAAATAATAAAATAAATTATATTTATAAAATTTTATTTTATTAATTGTGGGTTATTTTTTATTTATACTCTGAAAACGATTACACACAACAGAGAATCATGATATGAGACCTAAAAGTACTTCAAAAGATTTGTATAAAATTTTGTATTCGGATAATGTTTTGCTTTCCAAGCCTATCTAGATAAGTATCATTCCTGAGAAAATTTCATTTTTATCCAAACCGTGGTTGCCCAGTTATTTCATATTATATGTATATAAACTTTTCAGACCCTGATGAAGAATCCTTGTTGTTATTGGCAAACAAGTTGAAGACTTTGTTAGATGTTAAAGATTCTCACATCTGTGATGACTTTCATCTAAGTTTAACAAAAACACTTGTTTTAAGCTACCATACCATTACTCCGTTTACTCAGAGCTTAAAAGAAACATTCAGTGACATTGAGAGGTAATGTGAATTTATTTATTGAAAACAATATGTGTAATAAAAATAATTAACACAATCATACTTAATATTATGGATTGCAGTGATGCATCTCCCTTAGAGTCGCGGAGGATAGAGAGAGTGGTGTCTTGCTATACTAGCACTCCTCTTCCCCCGCGACTCCCCTTCGTCTGCGGAGGGCAAGATGAGAGGACACCTACACCAATACCAACATGTATCCAGACTGGGCTTGCCGGTCCTTTACCTCGGGTCAGCCATGTGGGTTCCTCTTTGTTCGCTCTGGATGACAGCCACAACTACAAAACCTTCCCACCACTGCAAGGAAGGAATTTTCGAACTCGACAGTGTGACCAAATCAGAATGCTTGGTTTTACGTGGTGGGTCCTGGTTTTAAATCCCAGCCGGAGCTGACAATTGTTCCAAAATTTCTGTCTACCTCCTTTTTTTCACTTAAGAGTTAAATCAGCCATAGATAGGTAAAAATCAGTGATTACCTTTGTGTTAGCCCGAATCCTTGTGGCACTGTAAAATTCAAGGGAAAGAATAGAGGGAAGCTCAAAATCAATCAGGTGGACATCAGTACCATCAAAATACAACTTTGTTCTAATCTTATTTTCCTGAAAGTAACTGGAAGTAAGAGATAATGTACCAAATCTGAAATTAACAAGTGTAATAATCACTTTACAGTATCAAATAGCAGCAATGGGATATTATTCATTTCATTGCATTACAAAGAAAACATACCTTACCTAACCTAACCCATCTTTTTATTACCTACTATGCTCAATAAGTAACTGACTTTATTCATAAAGCCCGGTCAATTTAGTTATTTCAGTAGTTTTTATCACATTGGCTACTAAGAATGGGCAATATGAATTATGCCCTATTATTAATCACTTTTTCCATAATATATGTAAGGCGTAGCATAAGGTGTAGTATTATTTACCGAGCATACATGCAGTTTTGTCACAAGTCCAATCCAAACAGACCATACAAGTTATCCGATGTGTCCCGGATTTAATACCAGTTCTAATTTAAAAAAAAAATACAATATATTTTTTGATTGCAGCTTTTATTTGGGCTTCAATTCAATTGAAATTTATTGCAACGAAGAGAAAACACGGACATTTATTGCCCTTAAAGTTGATTATTTTAGCAACAAAAGTTTGTCAGGCATTGTGAGAAAAATTGATGGTGTTTTAGAAGAATTTAGATTGGAAAAATTCTATGATGTAAGATTTTATTTTAATCATTTATAAGTATGTATAATTTATTTTTATTTGCCGTTTGATAGCGGCGTAAGGCGATGGATGTTGTAAGAGGGGATTATGGGATATGCCGAAAAACAGCTTCCGATAGATAGCATCATAACCAACTCGTTTACGTCAGGTGTAAAATATCCAGATCGGTGAGATCTAGAGTGACAAGAAGCAGTGTAAAAGGTGAGAAATTTTCAATACTCCGGCTAAGTGTGACAGTTAAATCAAATCCTGTCCATAATAGGAGAGGCCCATGTCCAGCTGTGGACTTTTGCGGACGAAGGTGGAGTGTATGCTGTATATTATGAAGTATGTAAATATTCCCAATCCACAATGACAACTTCACCTGCATGTGATGCACTCATTAAATGAATAAGCTCTGACAACCGACAACAGTCGTTATTATGTTGAACCCCAGACACAGAAGAATTAGCCTAGTGTGAGTAGACAAGTATGAGCAAATTCGGCACAATAACCGGCAACTGTAGAATACTTACGTAATTATTGTAATTAAGATATACGGGACATATTTGGATGTAAATGCGCGCATTCTAATGTATCCCGTATCTTATTGCAAGTCAATCTGTCAATGTGGCAGGTATGTGTGTGTGCAGTGTGTGGCAGCGGCTTAGAATACTGCCACCCTCACTCATCCCATGCATGACTGTTGTACAAGCCTACAGAGGGAAATGCCATAAAAAATGCGACCTTCATGCTTCCGATGGATGGCGGCATAACCGAAACTTGGGCTGTTCTGGATTTTTGCAGCGGTGCCATATTGACTGGCGGTATATCGAAGTGCTGAGATGCCTTTACAACACCAATATGATTTCCATCCAAGTACAGGACAGTCAAACAAAACCGATCCAGTTGTATCGCGGAGTGAGACAGGGGGATGTTATATCCCCTAAACTGTTTAGAAATGCATTGGAAGATGTTTTTAAGACGCTAGACTGCTTTGCTGGTGATATCGTCACCAGCAAAGCGTAAGTCATGGCATAATCGCTGCAAGAACTTCAGGACAGGAAGTACACAGTACAGACTGAATGAATCCTCCCGACGTGTTCACGCCTGTGTATGAATCTGAACTAGACAAAGTTTATGTTCAACAATCACGTTATGTCAGTTCCAATTACTGTTGATGGTGAAATTCTCGAAGTTGTCTAGGAATATACCTACCTCGGGCAGATATTGCAACTAGGTAAGAATAAGTTCGAGAAGGAACCCGATTGGAGGATCAAGTTAGGCTGGGTAGCATTTAGCTAGTTCCGTTGGGTTTTTTCTCGTCGCCCATACCGTAAAGTCTGAAGACAAAAGTCTTCAACCAGTGCGTCCTGCCCGTACTCACTTACGGTGTGAAACGTGGACACTGACTATGCGTTTACTCCACAAGCTCAAAGTCGCTCAGCGAGCGATGGAAAGAGCTATGCTCGGAGTTTCTCTGGTAGATAAAATTTGAAATGAAAAAATCCGCCGAAGAATCAAGATTGCGAGAGTGACACTGAAAGTTCTTAGAAAATAAAAAACTGAAGAAACTAGCAAGTTATTAGTTTTATTTATTTATTTATTTATTTATTTAATCTTTTTTGTTTACACCTTAAAGGAAAAAGGGTAACAAAGGGCGGACTTAATGCCTAGCGGCATTCTCTGCCAGTCAACCCGTGGAGTGATGAGATTTTGTGGCAGGTGCAAATACACACATATATACATATATACATACATACATACACACACACATACATATATATACATATATACATACAGACTCATATATATATATATACATACATATACACATACACACATACACATATACATACATACATACTAAGATATGCGTATAATATACAAAACTTTACATATGTAAATATATGAATAAAATATGTATCATACATAGATATAATATATACGTTACATATAATAATAAAATACATATATTGGAATTACAAATAATAAAACATCTAAATGTGTCAAAATTATCATCACCATTCTTAACATCGAACATCACTTCGACTCAAAAAAAAGTCGCGTACCAACTTTTTAAAACAATCCTTACTTGGCGCTCTTCTTATGTTTTCGGGCAAGGAGTTCCAGAGTAGTGTTGCCTGAATAGTAAAAGAATTGTTGGTGAATCCAGTGAAATGAGATGGAATACTGAGCTTATGATTAGATGAGGAGCGAAGAACCTTATCATGAGTTGAAAAGAGATATAGGAATTTGTCCTTCAGATATGTTGGAGAAGTTGGATTATTCAAAATTGAGAAAAGAACAAGCAAAATTCTTAAGTTTCGTCTTTGTTGGATAGTGAGCCATTTAAGGCGTTCACGATAATGAGAGATATGATCATATTTTCGAAGACCAAATATATATCTAATACAGCTATTGAGAAGACGTTCTAGCTTATTAAGAAGATTTTGGTTCACATCTGGGTAGCACACATCTGCATAATCAATAATGGGTATTATAAGTGTTTGCGCAAGTGTTAGCTTAGTCTTGATTGGAAGAAAGTTCTTCAGACGATAAAGGGATCGTAAGGTGGCAAAGACTTTGCTGCTAATTTCAGTGACATGCGTACACCAGTTCATTGTGTTATCCATATACAGGCCAAGATTTTTTACAGAGGAAGAGAATGGTATCAGTATATTGTTGTAATAGACAGCAGGTAGGCTTGTCACATCAATTTTTGACAACATTTTCGAGCTACCTATGATTATAGCTTGACACTTCGTTGGATTAACTGATATTCCATAACGCCTAGACCATTCTTTAATAGCTTCCAAGTTCAGATTTAACATTCTAATAGCGTCATGGAGCTCTTCGATAGATGATTGCAAGTAAATTTGGAGGTCGTCAGCATACAGATGGTACGAACAGTTAAGAATAGATGTGATCGAGTTTATAAAAACTGAGAAAATTAATGGAGAAAGTATACCGCCTTGCGGGACGCCAGCATCAAGACTAGCCCACTTGGAACTCTTCTGTCCCATATGGATAGACTGCTGACGCCCGCGAAGATATGAAGAGAACCAATCCAAGACTGAGGGTGCAAATCTTAAATAGGACAGGATAGATAAAAGGACATCATGGTCCACTGCGTTAAAAGCATTAGAAAAGTCAACAAGCACCATTACAGTCACTTTCTTCTTTTCCATACCTTGTCTGATGTCTTCCGTAACTTTGAGTAATGCTGTAGTGGTGCTGTGGCCGAGACGAAACCCAGACTGATAATCGCTGAGTAGATTATGATTAAGTACAAAATTGGAGACTTGCTTATGTACGCAGCCTTCCAGAACTTTGGATAGAAAGGGCAAAATAGATATCGGACGAAGGTGATTAGGTAATGTGGGATTCGTTATTTTGGGAATAGGGCGTATAAAAGCCTTTTTCCAGAGATTTGGGTACTGACCTGAGTCCAGCGAAAAGTTTATAATGAGAGTAAGTGCAGGTAGTACATACTCCAGTATATTGACTATCATAGTTCTGCTGATTTCATCACAACCCACAGCCTTGGATTTAATTGATAGAACAATTTTTTTAAGGTCATCCTGATGAACTGGAGAAAATTGAAAAGAAGGAATTTGAGGAGATTGGATAGAAGCTAAATAAGCTATCGTTTGAGATCGTACAGTAGTGTCCATAACAGGAGCAGAAGCAAAATGGTGATTAATGTCATCACAAGACAGATAAGAGGCGCACTCCAGAGTAGGCTCCATCTCACCCACGCCAATTGACCTGAGAAACTTCCAGACATTAGCTGGCGAAGAATTAATTATATTATTATGGATATAACGGCGTTTGGCGTTACGCACCATCTGATTGCATCTGTTCCTAGCTTTCTTAAAACATGTCCAATTCTCTTCCGTACGCTCTCTTTTGAAACGCTGAAAAGCCCTATTCCGCCTTGTCATCGCCATCCGAACTCCCTCAGTCATCCAAGGAGAAGGTTGATGTTTAAGTCTAACTTTACGTACAGGGGCATGGGCGTTATATAGGCTAATTATTTTATTATTAAAGATGGATAACATATCATCAACAGTGGTTGATAATTTTAATTGATCAAAATTTAAATTAGAAGCGTCACTTCTTAGTTTATCTAAATTAATTTTAGAAAAGTTGCGCAAGTGAATAAAAGTAGGCAACGATTTAGGAGATTTTAGTTTGTATGCAACATAAATGAGGTCGTGACGCGAGAATCCTGGAGCGGAACACTGACCATGTGATATCACATGATCAGGAGAAGCTGTAATAACAAGGTCAATCAAAGAGTCATTGGAGTTGAAATTATGATGAGTTGCTCCTGAAGGTAGAATGTGAAGATTGACTGACTCAATAATTGTACGAAGTTTTTGGGAACGGTTAGAATTTATCAAGAGGTTAGTGTTAAAATCACCCATGATTATGCAGTGTGCACACTCAGAGACAATTTTTTCGAGAGCCGTTTCTAAAGTGGCGAAATAGTCAATGGAAGGAGGACAATACACTACTCCAAGAATCACCTTTACGCCTCTGACGCTGACTTTTAAGAATAAGAACTCCGGAGAGCCTGAATAAAGCGAAGGAGAGGCTAAAATAATTTCATACGAAAATGACGAGTGTAGGTAAATGGCAACACCGCCTCCCCTTTTACCAACACGGTCATTTCTAATTAGTACAAACCCCGGAAGTGGATACAAAGCAGAGTGAAGACTTGGCTTTAACCAACTTTCGGAGATTAGAATAACTTGTATCAAGTTCGGGTTAAAAGACGCTTCCAGCTCAGAAAAGTGACTCGGAATACTTTGAGCATTAATATGACAGATATTGAAGGATTTATTGTAAGATTGAAAAGTTTCATTTAACTGTGTATATAAGGTAGTAGAAATGTTTATAGAATCGTTACACGACAAGAATGATGAATCAGAACTGTTAAACGAATGAAATGAATCGGTATCATATAGTTTTATTATATCTTTTCAAAATAGTGTCCATTTACGTCAATATGCGTAATGCGCTGCATCCGATGAAACCACTGACAAAAGCACTTTGCCCACTCGTCCTTAGGGAGAGACCCCTCTTCGACGGCATTTTGAAATGCAGCCACTGCTTCCTTCCTCGGCGTCCATAAAATGTTTTCCTCGAAGTTTTTCTCTTAGTTTGGGAAATAAATAAAAATCGCAAGGTGGCGAGGGCGGGGTTATAGGGCGGGTGACCTAGTAATTCCACGTCTGATGTCGCCAAGTAGTCAATTATTTGCTTAGCGGTGTGCGACGAGGCGTTGTCTTAGTGAAGGAGGATTCTACTGCGAGGTCGTTTCTTCCGAACTTTTTCCAATACAAGTGGCAAACAATTGTTAGTGTACCACTCTGCAGTAACTGTTTTTTGGTTCTCTAAACAATTGTTGCGTAATGACCTGTCCTTCCGAAGAACGGGGCCACCATATTTTTTCCCACGCTTCGACCACCTCTCTTCATTTTAGTTGGCTACTCCTCGGAAGGAAACACCCAGACAGCAGACTGTCTCTTAGTTTCAGGATCATAACCATAAATTCAGCTTTTCATCACCTGTAAGTACTCGTATGTCGAACACAGCATTTGAGTCATCCCCGTTAAATCTTTGAACCATTTTACGATACCAATCAACACGACGGAGTTTTGGGCCTCTGTCAAATTATGAAGTATCCACCGGGCACTAAGCTTCCTGACCGCTAAATGCTCACGCAGATCATCGGTGAGATTAGTGCGACCACGTTTAAATTCTTTAAACCAATTGCAATTGGCTCGAGATGGCGCTTCATCATGAAAGGCCAATCGAAGTCTATCATAACTTTCTTGTTGACTTAAATGACATCGAAAGTCATAAAAAATTATTGTACGAAAATTTTCTCGCGTTAAATTCATGCTGACGTGACAAAGACAATTTTCAATTTTCCACCAAATCGTAAACAAATAACAAATTAATAAAATACATACACAATAATATTGGTAAAGAGTTCTAAAAACTTTCAGTGTCGCCCTCGTATTGACGTAGCCTTCCGTGTTTGTAAATTAAAATGACAATGGGCTGGCCACGTCTGTCACAGAGGTGACAACCGGTGGAGTAGACGCGTTATGGAGTGGAGACCGCGTCTAGGCAAACGTAGTGTGGGACGCCCCCTGACCAGATGGAGCGACGATATGCGCAAGGTGGCTGGTAGCAACTAGATGCGTGTAGCCAAAGATCGGGCCAAGTGGCGCGCCTTGGGAGAGGCCTATGTCCAGCAGTGGGCTGCCGTAGGCTGATGATGATGATATAATGATGATATATGTCAATGGTGAAATTTTTCAAGCATACATACCATGAGTAGTGCAATTTGTTTTTTCATTCTTGTCAACAAACTATTGCAAACCGCAAACAAATAACTTCTATTCTTTAAAAACAAATAATAATCAGTTCATTTTTAGGTATCTATCGGATATTGAAATATGTCTTTACTAGCGAGTGTTTATTTTTGAAATTTTAGAGTTTGTACTGCATTCTCACTTTTTTAACGTCGCCTCGTAGTTTAACTGCTATATTAAAGTGACATGTTTATATATTTATGTAACATAACTGATATGTTTTAACAAAACAATATTTTTAGGATCCATCATTTCATATAAGTCTGTTATGGATTAATGGTGATGAGAAGGAAAAGCTAGAAGCCATTATAGAAAACTCAAATAACGTTTTCAGCCAAGAAGTTGGAAAGATAATTAAGTCTATTGTTATAAACAAAGTTAATTGTAAAAGTGGTAACAAATACTTTCAGTACCTATTGCAATAAAAAGAGTTTTAAAGATGGAACGAAGTCTTAATCACAAAGTCTATATAAATCCAAATTTTAATCGAAAATTATATGTAGACAGCATACCGCAGCAAACAGCCTTATCATCTACAAATAAGATGCATGTAAACCCGAATTTCGCAAGAACGAATTTACTTAACAATTTCGATCATAATGTGAAACGACGCATTTTCGTGAACCCCAATTTTATCAAGCCGGAATATTCATTGGATACTACTTTTTCATCCTTGCCTAAGTTATGTAATGAGACAAAGGTCGGTAAAGAAATAGTGCAAAGTAATATTTGTGACAAAGAAATCGAATCCTGTAACAGACCAGAAATTGTTAGGCCTGTATTGCCTTCCTCTGTGTCCAAATCCCGATACACACTGATCCGAAAAATAGACTCATGTCCTAAGAATGTAGAAAAGCCATCTAATAAAGGAAACTCTACAGTTAAAATAAGTAAATACAAAACTGTGCGACTTAGTTACATCACAAATAATCTTACAGGGGATAAATTATCTAAAGAGACTAAAATATTACCTGCACCTGTCAACATAAATCACCTATTACCAAAAGTTCAGAGCCCAAAAACCGTGCAATATACGCCTGTTTCTAATAAAAAATTTAAGAAAATTAATATACCAAATCAATCTGGGAAAAAACTTATTGACACTAAGAAAAATTGGCTTAACTCAAGATTTCAAATAAACCGAAAATCCCTTGAAAGGAGATTTAAAAAGAATAATATACCTTGCCCTCTATTTCGTAAATATGGTAAATGCTTAAGGAACATACACGGAAATTGTGAGTTTTTACATGACAAAAAGCACGTATCGATATGCCGAAAATTTCTGAAAGGTATTTGTCATGATATTTCTTGCAGCTTTTCGCATGAATTGAGTGCTAAAAAAATGCCCACTTGTTATTTTTATCTGAAAGGATTATGTACAAAAGAGAATTGTCCTTACTTACATGTGAAGTTAAACAGTAAAGCTAAATTATGTAACGATTTTTTGAAAGGCTATTGTGAGAAGGGCGACAAATGCATCTATAGACATGTTAATAAGGAGCTACAAACTCGTGTAAAACGTAGTTTGAATCTCCAGCGTCAATATTCATGTTCATCGAGTTCAATAATAGTTTCCAATAAAAAGATAAAACGAAAGCAAAGCTTACATAAACGATCAGCAGTAAAAAGAAGATCTGTATCGAAAACTCCTCCATGCGAAAAGGACATAAACGAAGTGGATTGTAGATATTTCAAAGAAAGCAAGGCTGAAGAAGTTAATGAAGATTGTAATGTAATAAAACCTAATAGATGTAGACTAGGTACTTTGCCATCATTTATAAAACTATAAATCTTTATTATAATTATTTTTTTACTATAAATAATGTTTTATAAATAAATATTTTAAATACCTATAAGCAATGTTTTTGATTCTTTCCCCTCTTCAAAGAAATTAAATGTGCCTATGTTATGGAGGGTTTTTATTCATGAGTTAGGGTATAGTCCACGGACCAAATACAAAGAGGAGGTGTTGTAATTAGATTTCACTATGTAAAAACGCGTGACAATTTGCGGGTGAGGGGATGTTAAGCCTCGCCCACTTTACTATTTTCCATCCACCGATTAATAGTAAAACTACTCGCATCGTTCCATACCGATGTTGCAATGTAGTTTAGCTACCTTGACGATTATAAAAATAATATTTGGGCAATTAAAAATTTTTAGGCCACCACGTTTATCATTATTTTACCAATACTGAGCTCTACGTACCTTTATATTTTCAGTTCCCATGACACAAAGCCCCTTCGCACACGGCGTCGTATCGTAATACGCGCGTAGGACGAGAGCCATACGAGCGCGTACATGGTCAAACAAGTCCGCACACGAAGCGGTGCTGCAGCGAATCGTAGGAGATATTTATTGTCATTACGATAGTCGTAGTGTACTGGCGTAAAAAATTAACTGTTCATTAATTTCTTTAAAAATTTAACTGAATTTTAATTTTTTTTAATTTTTTACGACTTTTCATTTCAATAGGTATGAATAGGACTGAAAAAGTGATTGAATTCGTGAAAATGGGTGAAGCGTTCCCTTATCTATATAATCATTAAATTTAATCATTCATTAAAGTGAATATTCAAGGAAAGATGTAATGGATAAAGCTTGGGCAGAAATATCGTCATAAATATCGTTTTCTACTTCTTACATAATAAAACAATAAAAAATCCTCTTCATCTAAAGAGAAAGTAAGATAATCTATTAATTCACCCAACACATCTGGTACCATTGACGCCATGATTTCAACTGAGATCTTACAAAACGATACGTCTACTCGACGATTCGTTTGTAGACCACAGCAGGGTCTCGTAGGCGTTGCGTTGTGAGTTGTGACGATTAACTTACGACTCGTGTGCGAAGAGCCAAAGTGTCGCCATCTAGTGTCGAATGTATTTAATTACATTTGAAAGCCGACGCAAATTTTTCTAGAACCTTTTTAATAAATTAGGTATAAAATTACTTACAAATGAAATACGATGCCATCCATAGCATCAGAGCGTCTATCTGAGTAGTTTTTACTCGATAAAACACAACACTTCCTTTTCTTTTTAATACTACGAAAATACACCGAATTAACAGTGGTAGAGCCACGCGGCAGATTTTGCTGTCGCACGGATGGGCCGGCTCGAACCGGGGTGGTACCACGACCTCACAGAAAACCAGCGTGAAGTAGAGGTTTACCTCTGCGATTCGCTTGGTGAGTGCAGGTGGCCGGAGGCCCTTTTTACTGGAAATGAGGCATTCCATCTTAGTCCTCACGGGTGACAACGCATCTACATTTTGATTTGTAATAGAGGATAGATGTATATGTCTATGGGCCGCAGCAACCACTTATCATCAGGTGGACTGTGTGCTCGTTTGTCACGCTTATCCTATAAAAAAAATTGGGATTTTCGACACATAAGCACACAGAACGAACGCTGACTTATGATAAGTAAAGCCACGCCCACTGTGATGACGTAAGGATCTAGTTAGAATCACAGTGCACAGTTGCCTATGTTATCTCCTTTTTGTATTTGCTCTGTGGTATAGTCTGACAGGTGAGCATTCGGTGCAGATGCGGAGTAGTGTTAAGGTACGGACAGACGTGCTCATTACTAGCACGAAAGCATGCTTTTATTGAGCAAGTGCTTATTATGAGGCGCGGGTAGAAAGGGGCGTGATTCGAACGCGTCTGAACAGGTTTGCTTATGGGCATGCTTATTTATGAGTATTCTTTAGGCGTATTTATTGCTGGCAAATGTGAAAAGTTGCAGAGCATGCTAATGTTAAGTAAGCTTATGAGCATGCTTTTTTTTGAGCACGTCTGTCCGTACCATTAAGGTACAAAGATATAGTGGCAGTGCTATCCGTACAGAACTCAATACAATTTATTTTAAATTGATACAGCAAATGTCGCTGATCGAGATCGATTCGATAATAGCATGCTTATAAGCAAACCATCACGCTCGGAGCACGCCCCCTTCTACCCGTTCAGCTTCAGGCAGTATGCTCGAAAATCAAACGTGGGTTGATTTTTGAGCACGCTCATTATGCATACTACTAGCGGCGGCTACTCTGCTCTTGGCTCTATCTTATAAAACAGAGTTAGTTTGTCATGTGCTATGGACGCCCCAGTCTGCTGCAGCCTAGAACAAAGCGGGCTTGATATCTATAAGCTGTCAAATGTAGGTCTATTAACGCAAAATTTCGACGTTTGACGAATATTTACGTTGATGGAGCTAAATTTATTTAAATGTTGCTGGTCATGAGCCTCTATTTGCAGGGAGTGTTGTTTATTATCATTAAAGTCATTAGAAACAATGATAAAAAAAAAAAAACATTGCGTGCACTACACAATTGCAGTCATTTCGGATACCGTTAAAACCAGATACAAAAAAAAAAATACTTGAAAGTTTTATAATTTATTTGTTACAAAATCCCTAAAAATGTTCAATATTTTACATAGGAATTCTTAAAATCTATCGTAAACTCGTATATATATATATATAACATCTAAGCATTGAAATTGTCCCTGTTTTATAAATAAAAATAAAATTTTATTATTAATTTTAACATAAGAACTATTGGCTGCTTATAACTTTTTCATTTTTTAAACCATTTAGGAACCTTGGCCTGTTTCGAGGTTGAGGATTGACCGGTCGGCTTTTCCGATTGATTCGATGTTTCATTCATGGTTCTTCTAGTTGGCGCCCTGTTGTAAATTTCGTGATTAGTATTAATTAAAAATACAATAATTTGACAATTCAAAAATAATAATTAAATCGATTTCAATTATCATCACATAGACATGGTTGAAATTTATTTATTTAGGATACGTGGGTGAACCATGTTTTTAGAAAATCTAAAACGGACCAAGAGCGTACAGAAGATCAAGAGAGCGATTGAAGTTGTTACGGCGGGTTACTATCGAAAGTACTAAGCCAGTGCTTACAAAAATGGTCACGTCAAGTCAGGTCAATTTATTTTTATTTGCCGAAAGATGCGTAAACAAAAGATAAATGAACATATCGGTTTATAGCTAATTTGGTTGGGGATGATGTTTTAAAGCACGACAATGCCTGTCTGTATTCCGCTGGATAGATCGTGTTGCCAGCATGCAGCCTAAATCACAATCTATTATGCTTGGGACGAGCTCTGGGGTTTCGTGGAATGTAGAAATCTTCATCCAAGTTTGCGATCTTAAGTATACGCTTATAGATGAATAAGGTATTTTTTTTTATAGTAAAAGGCTAACAAACTAGCACACAGTCCATCTGATGGTAAGTCATTGCTGTAGCTCATAGACATCATTTATCCTCGGATTACGAATCAAAATGCAGATGTGAGGACTAAGATGCAATGCCTCGTTTCCATTGAAAAGGTTCCCTGGTTCTCTACCCTCACCATACGAAATACAGCAGCGTTAAGCTGCATTTTACGCTGGTAATCTGTGAAAGCGTGGTCTTTTCTCGGTCGAGCCGACCCATTCGTGCTACAACTATAATATAGCTGTAGCTCGATCGACTTAGAAGGTAGGTCAGGTCATCTGTTTTGCCTAAGTCTTTCTGGGTAGGTACTACATTACTCCCTATTTCCGTCGCCAAACAGCAGTGCTGGCACTGCTGTGATGCATTCCATCTTAGTCCTAAGAGGTTACAATTGCCACTGACAAAGCATCTGTTTGAGGTTGGCTGCAGGTAAAAAAAAGAAACCTGCAGGCACACTTCCGCTCCCGAAAATGATTCAAAGGCCGAGCTACGACCAAATGTTACCAGTGCCGATAGGCATCCCTGACAGATACAGAACATTATCATCATCATTACACCTTTTCAAAGTTCTCCTACTTTCTTGTCATACAATACAGTACAATATCTTTAACGCTTATCCGAAAATATCGATCGACCCTATATTATATAATTAAACATTTTGTACAACCGACTTCAATATAAATTATTAAGAATAACTCAAAAACTATTGGTCAGACCTTGATCAAAGCATCAGCACTCAAATAAAATAAGAATCATCGAAATCGGTTCACCCAGTAAAAAGTTATGATGTAACACATAAAAAAACACAGTCGAATTGAGTACCGGCTCCTTTTTGAAGTCGGTAGAAAAGAAAAACAATAGCTAAAAGAATAGACTTTTCTCTCTCTTATTTCTTGCAACGAATTTGTTTCAGTGCTAAGAAATGGAAGTACATATATAAAAAAATAATCATAAGCAACACTCGAGACTTACAGGAACCCTTATGGGCCTTTACGGCAGGCGTGCCGTAAGGCCCCTAAGTGCGGCAGAAGCTGTCTAAAGGCGAAAAATTCTTTGAAAAAAATTGTGGTTGATTACAGTAGCGAAGAAGAAAACGATAATTATATCATTGAGACCTACAAAGAACGATGATCACGAGTATACGCCAATTAGGAACCGATTTTGATAAATTATACTTCGGGGGTGTACCGTATTTTGGAGAAGTGGCGAAATAGGGGATACGTGAATACGTGACATCCCATATCATAGATTTTCATAAGTTATCGTGACAAACACGGGAAGAAATCTTGATTTTGACCATTTCTGTTTATCTATCAGCCAACTCGATCGAAGTCGCATCGGAATGTTAACCAATCGCAGCACTGCATTCAATTATATGCGCATGCACAACAAAGAGTCCTTTGATATTGTTCATAATTTGGTTTGCCATTCTCTAAGACTAATTACTAGCACAGAGTCAAGTGGCCAGTTCTAAAAACTTTCAGTGTCGCCCTCGTAGCGCTTTTGTCTAGATCTAGATAACAGTCGTGCGAAGCCGGGGCTGATCGTTGGTAAGTATATAAAATTGGGATTACAAATGGAATTCAACTCGCTTATGTACCGTGTGATTAGTATTCATACCTCCTTAGCTATTAGTTTTTAACGTTCGCGATACGAATATTCGAATAATAATAATAAGTCTAGTCCTATTTTCTTTATATTTTTAGACAAAAACGAGCATATCGATGTCGATTATTGTTAACATTGTGAACGAAATCACTATAGATTAAAGACGTCATGTCTTGTAAAGTAACGTCACACTTAATACTACTACAATAGGAATGTCATTTTTCTAGTAAATGAGAAGATACCGAGTGTATTTACTCTCATAATTGGCATAGTAGAAAGATACCAAAGATGACCACTTGACATTTTTATTTCCACGCATGAATTACACGCAACATCTTTCAATAGATTTGTCCCTTTTTCCTTTTGAACATTACATTAGAAAAAGCGAGACAAGTATATTGACTCAATTTATGTAGAATTGTAGGTTCTCTATGCATACGTATGTATGTAATTACTCTAAGACCATACGAAACGCAGTGAGAAACATTTTATTTTTACTTATTATAGCGTTGCTTCTATACTTAAGAAAGTAATGTTTGTGAATATGGGCATCAAGATTGCTATTACGGTTATTGTAAATTGTCGTGAGGTGTACGAAACGGCTCATAAAGCCTTTTTCGTAGATATCACAAAACTTAATAACTGTAGTTATATCAAACAAACAATTTCTATTTGCTATTTGAAATAGTGTATTTGAATAGAAACTATGCTAGCGTGACTGTGGACTAACCTGTGCATATTGACCATCTGCTGTTGCTCACCTTAACAGTTGCGCGCAATTTCAGTGTTTTATTAAATGAGATATTTCATTGTTAGAAAATTGATTAATATGTAGATATTAAGTGTGATCCATGAAATAAATGATTCTGATTCATATCCTTACGACGCGTTTTGTGGAATTGCAAAAAATGCAATGTTGATATTGATATGTACATATTCAGGTCGTCGAAAAATAAAACTGAAATGTTAAAAATTCTACGCTTTCTCCCCGACGGTCCACACGTTCGACTGCACGACAGGACAAGACGCGCGACAAGTGCGGCTCTTTTTATTATTTTATCTACAATATTAGCCAACGCTGCATACATTGTATTTTTCTAATGCGTGCGATAGAAATTTTTTTTCTTGCTTTAATTTAATTTATACGTCTTACTATTCGTGACCCCAAGAATTGACAACGTTATTAATCCGAAATTGAGCAGCATTTTATTATTTACAGTAAATAAAAAATCAATTAAAAGGTTTATAATTATTAAATTCATAATGCGTTTTAAATTTTTATGGGAAGTGATATCCTACTTCCTACTAATATTATAAACGTGAAAGTTTGTGAAGATGTATGGATGTTTGTTACTCTTCTTCGCAAAAACTACTGAATATATTATAATGAAACTTTACAATAATATAGCTCATGCATCGGAACAACACATAGGCTATAATTATTGGTCAAAATATAACGATGTGTTAAGTAAATCGGAAATAATCTGTCATCTGCGAGCTATTTTGGCGTGCGGTGCGCAAACTGTAAGAGTTACACAAATATAATGTATGGTGGAGTTGTTTCTCCTAAATAGTTCTACAAAAAAGTCCGCGACAGTATATATATCTATATTTTATGTGTAGGCCGTTCTTACCAAAATAGTGAACTATAAATACTGTTATACCCTGCAAAGGTCACCTTGGCTGGGGCCCATAGCAGCCAGCTCAACGGGCAGACGCGGGTCGGGCCCAAATGGCCATATGGAAGAATGTCCTAACATACTAAACTGAAGGGAGAAGGCTAGAAAAATATAGTACGTACCTGTATCCGAATCTAAGGCCGCCCCAAGGCTCGGTTAGACCGTAGGTGGGTGTAAGGTACATGGAAAGTAGTGTTTCGTGATGTTTATGTGTCTGAGACCTGGACTAGCTGAGGTGACCGGCAGCGGCCGATTTCCAGGCTGCCCCACGATGCTGCATCACTCCAGTAGGCTTCCCCGCTGGACCATTTCTTTCTTCATGTCACTATTTCAGTCTATTAACTTCATTGTACATTTAACTAACTTAAACACGCCTAACTCCACATTCATCGTAGAATCGAACACGAGACACCCGACACAGTAACGGACAGTAGTTCAAAGTTCAACATTCAATGTCCCGGGTTCATTTATCACCAAATGACGAATAGTGAACTAACGCGATCTCTTGGTAAGTCACACGGTTCAGCGTTACAAACACAACTAAATTCCTTCGTTCGATATCAAATACTACGCCGCGATAAGAATTCAAAATACGCCTCGTTGACACGTAAAACTAACAAAACAGTCAACACACAAAAAAGGTCATTTAACGCGACGGCACAATTACCTTCAAAGAAGTTACTTTAATCAGTTAAACACAATAAAAGCCTCTTGTCAAGAACCTAGATAACCCAAAACGAAGCGGTTTTCACGAAACACAATTACGTAGCGAAGTCACGCGCACAATTTCCAAAATTCTAGACCTTAATCCGAAAAAACCGGTCACGCGAAACCTCAGCAGCGGGCATCGAAAGACACCAATTAACTGCCCAGCCGCCGCCGAGCTACTATCCTCTCGCTCACGAGCGTCACACGCTGGGAAGCTGCCTACCGATGCCCCCTCCCCGCAATGCGCGTGACACCTGGTACCATCGGGCGATTCACAAAGTCGAACGTGATTGGTTGTCGTACAAATTACCTTTTTTGGGCCTAAACAAACCCCCGTCCCGGACATAAGGATTTATGTCCGCAAGCAAACCGGCAAGCGGGACAGGGTCGCGACGGCACGTTGCATGACCGAATCTACAACCAAAACTAGGCCACCTTAGGCACCCCAT